TGAACCCTCACCACACGAGCTACTAAATCTGTCAAAGAGTTTATATTTTCTGCCAGCTGGTTAAAATTCTCATTTCTCCTTTATCTATAATAATAATCTATATATGTCTTTTAATTCTATTTAATTTTCACCAGTTTATGTTCGAGAACTTTCTTCACTCGAAAATTTCACCGACCACGTTTTTCTTCACTTCCGGTTTAATAATAAAAAAAAGTTTTCATCTATTTTTATTAATAATGTCACTAATTTATCATTCCATCCACAAACGATGAAATAATCCCATCCTCGTCGCCAATTTGTCACATCGGGGGGTTCGTTTAGGCACTTTCACCTTAGGAAAATTTAAAATAAAAGTTCTGTAAGATTCAACAAGGTTCAATCTGTTCAATCGTCTATATTTTGCACACTACACAATGACATTATTTTGACACTACTAAGTTATACAGGGAGACAACTATCTTTTTCACTTAAGATATTATAATATAAATCAGACTACAGTTACATAGGGTAGCTCATGACACAGCACCTCTTGGCCACCTCCAACAGAGATTTTGTTTTTTGTTGTGTAAATGAAACTCAGTTTTTAATATTCAAACCCCTGGTTAACTCCTTCAAATCATCATTATTAAGTATAAATTCAATTGGTTTCTTCTTCAGAAAACTCTCCAGTTCTTGAACTATTTTACTTGCGTGGTTATTGTCATTTTTTGTTACGCGTATATCATTAGATACTTTCAACCTGGAAGTCTGGACTGATGTTCCAGGTTGATCCAGGGAGACTTCATCTTCACAATTATCGTCTTCACTTGGAACATAGTCCAAGTCCTGGTCGTCTGACAGTTGCTGTGCGTCCAGAGGATCAATATCCAGTGATGATTCCGAATCTGAAGACTTGCTTTCATTATTAAAAACTATTTCAGTGACTTGATTTCTTTTCGACATCTTGGTAAGGTTCTGTAAACAAAATATATATTGAAAACTGCATTATTACTAATAATGTCAATGTTTATGATACATATAACTATGATCTTGGCGCTCATTGGGACTTTGTACTCCGAGAGGGTGTGTCTAACGGGACCCTCTGTAACAAAATACCCTCTACAGGGATCACTCCTTATCCACTCTTGAAAGGGTCAGCCATATTGCCCCAAGTTGACCTGGTATTTTGTCATGACTGATATATTTTCACTTGAATGGTCATAAAATAAGTTGTTCATGATTAAAACTTTAATCGCCTAGATTATCCCAAGAAGGGGGGCCCTTGGAAAGAATACCTTATATTTTTATTACCTACTTGAACGCAGTAAGAAATTATGAACATTAACTAGTTTCGATTTTATTGTCATATTTTTGGGGATCACACCTGTCAGCATGAGGTATGGAGCCAAATGATATAAATACTCCTCATTTTGATTGGAATAGTCAGTATACACTTGAAAACTGTGGTACTCATTACACAAGCTAAAGTATTAGAACACCTTTGGAACGTTAGCTTGAATACCTCTTGACTATTACTACGTTTGGCTAAATACCTCGCCTCCTTTAGTTTATACATATACACAACGTGAAGTAGACATGGAATATAACTAAAAGAAAAACTGTTTTACGGAGTTGTTTATTTTATTCCCCTGACATCTCTGGATGATCACAAGTGTCTAAACAGGAGAGCTTTGTTATACCTCACGTTCCGTTTATAAAGCTGATTACAAAAACTAGCAAAATTCGAATATTCTCAAAATTTAGCTTTTTTTATGCTAACTGTGTTATATACTATGATATATCATAATTGGAAAATAACATCAGTATCTATCAAAATAGTACTTACTAAAAGAAAAGTCTCGGAACATTCTGTTAAAAGGGAATTCCCCAGTTTGAAAGTCAGCACAAAGTTTAGGGTCTGTTGAAGATTCCATTGTTTTTGTTCTTGTTGATGTTTATGAAGTTAATGAAAGACTGAAAGGTCTCATGCTTCTTGGTGTTGTATATAGAGTTGTCATATGTATTGGGACTTTGTAGTCCCGTCCAGTCAAAGCCCTGACACCTTAATATTATAAAAGAAACCTCTGAAATAGTTTTAGTGGGAGGAGCCAATCACGTACCTCATCATGTGCAACAGGCTCCACTCATCCTTCTAAACAATTTCTTTTCAAACTTATAGTTTAATTATAGTATTGTTAACAAATGTAATGGTCAAACGTCCATTATTGTTGCTCTACATGAATACCTGAAATTAATGCATTAGCAACCATCACACCTGGTTGTTTGCTGGTTATGTACCTTGGGTACACTCGGGCTAAGGTTCTTAGCTCTCGCCAACACTTTCAGTCGATGAAATATGAATATCCTGTTCAAGTTGAACATAAGTTCCATATATCCTCAGACTTTCTTTTCTAATCTCATAATACAGGTATTGGGATTTTCTGCCAAATTTATAAAAATGTCTTTCTTTAAATATAGTGTTTTAGTTTTCCGAAATGATGAGTTTGATCTCTAGTCGACAGCCAAATTTCGGTAGGAGTTATTAGTTTTCTGAAGAAAGCCTTATTTTATAATCAACCTGTTTATGTTCAAGTTTACCATAACGCCAACATTGGATAAGAGGTCTTGATTGTCCACGATGGGCTTCCGTACTATAAACTTGTCTATGTTTCATCGGTCGCTGACTGTGACACGCATGTGAATTATGTCCATGCCTATAGCATACATTATACCGTTTTGGTCTCACGTGATCCACCTCCATTGCTTCTGATTGGTCAACATTTTGGTTAGATCGAGAATATTCATTATTGGTTCCTAATGCAAACCTTTTTCTGCGATTTGTTTCAGCGTCGTAGGGTTTTCCCTTCTTTTTAGTTCTAAATAATTTTCCTCAGTCCGTCTAAGACAGATCTCTATGCATGAGACTGACCTTGGTTAAGTTTGAATTTGACGATATTTCAAAAAATGGAATTTGAGTTATTGTCAAAATTTGTTGGCAGTTTATGTCCAAATTTTATAAAATTTTGTCTTTGATTAAATCTACAATATCTTGTACATATTAGATTTTTGGTACGATTTGACACAGATTTGCGACCGCCAAGAGAAGTGGTCGATCTTGCTAGGCAACCACTTTGTCCATACCCTTGAGAGAATACGACATATCAATGGATATATAATAAGAATCTACTTTCCAATTAGAGGATATAACTAACTTCAATAACGTTCCTGACTTGAAAAGAAACTCCGCAATTGGTTGTCATTAAAAAAATGTGTACAAAATATGAAAATTGTTATGTCCCTTTACTTAAATATACCAATTTGTAGATACCCTTGACAAGGTAAAGCATTTATCCACTTTCTCAGATACCTGTTCTGGTCAGGATAGGAAGCAGTACATATGCGCGCTATGCTTTATGCTTTATCGACATTTGGAAACTATCCAACTCAACATAGTTTTATGGAAGTCGATTCAATGCATTCGATGATAGAAAGATGATCAAAAAATCAGACTCTTTACACATCAAGCGAATGGACAGTGTTAATTAGATATTCTCGTCGATCACAACGCCCTTACTATTTTGATCTCGACTATGACAGATTTTATGACTTAAAGGATTTTCCTCAAAATCTTGTTAGAAATAGAACCAAATCTGATCAAATGGTTACGGTTCAGAAAATCACATCCAAATATTAAAAAGTTCAAGTACATGATTACTAAAGAATTTGAAAATTTGATTGTAAGCAGCATAATTAAAATATTAGTTTTAAGAAAGCATATCAACGCTCTCTGCCTTTAACATCAACAAAGAAGGTGATCAGGATTCTTAAACATCTTCTTAGACATCTTTTAAGCAGCACTGTGGACTGTATCGTTTATAAATATGATTTTATTTCTGTAGTAGATTTTGAACTTTTAGAATGATTTTATTCCTGATCATTCGAGTTCATTTTCTACATAGTATTTT